TGAAAAACCAGGCAGAAAAAGGTTAAGGCTTAACTGGGTGGTACGTGCATTTTTGAATCTGCATAAGTAAAATATTGAGATGTCATTATCAGAAGACTTTCCCATCTCCTGGATTGTAAAGCAACGGTCTTGAAGATTTTTCTTGAAATGAAAATCCATTCAGAAATGACTGTTAGCACTGTGTACCCTGCATTAATAGCTTGTAATAAGAAAACTTGTGAATAAGTTGGCATTAATTCATTATGTGGTATGCCTTCTTGGGAGTCTGATTTTAGCTTTCCTCAAAATATACTTCACAAACCAATTTCTGAAAGTCAAGCTACTTTCCATTCTTCACATGAGGGTAAAAAAGATTGCAATTCTTTTCAGATGTAAGCTAAAGACCCTAAATAATGAAATGGAAAGCACAGAAAATGAAACTGGAATCATAATTGCACACTGTTTTATGCATAAGAGAATAGAATGTGGGAAAATATCACAAGTTTTTATCCACCATTGGACTGACTGGATAACCAAGTTGATTTTTTTTAATCTTTTTTTTTTAAAGATTTTAGTTATTTATTTTTAGAGAGGGAAGGGAGGGAGAGAGAAAGAGAGAGACAGAAACATCAATGTGTGGTTGCTGGGGGTTATGGCCTACAACCCAGGCATGTACCCTGACTGAGAATCGAACCTGCGACACTTTGGTTCGCAGCCCGCGCTCAATCCACTGAGCTACGCCAGCCAGGGCACCAAGTTGATTTTTTAATTAAAGACAAATTTATTTTGAAAGTTTGGAACTATTTTGGCATTTTTTAATTAGGAGAGAACATGAAAACTTTAGGGAAACTTTGACCTCAGACCCTAGAGTTTTAGATCAGCTTTCACAGAGGTACATAAATATGTCTCTCTGCATGGGGAAAAAGCAGAATGTTTCTCATTAAAATTACGCTTTTAGATCCTTCCTTACTACTTCCAATTCACTCATCCCCTTTAAATGAGGTTATGTAGATTCAAACTCGGACAGTCACAAGTACCTTTTAAAATGCTGTTAATCTAAAACAAATACATTGAGAGTATCCATGTACTCTGGCTCCTCTGGCTCCTCATTTTGGCTCCTCTGAAAAATATTATAATTTGGCTTTAAAGATATTTTTTAAAAAGCACTATATTAACATCTCATTGCTTAATCATCTTTGAATCCCTCTCCTGCCTTTAGTCCTTACCATATACAGTGTTGTTGTTTGGATCATAGCTTCAGGACTAACAAATACTACTTTATCACCATAAATATCTTCCCTTTTTAGGTTAATTTGTGTATATTTCTGTGGGTGTGAGTAGATAAGTATTAACTGGAGTGAAAGTGAGATGGAAAGAGAACATGGGATTGATGGTGAGGGGGATTAGAAAACACAGGTTAGTACATAAGTTCTTTATTGATTATGCTTTTTGTTTATGATTATTTCACCCCAATACAATATGATCTTCATGAGGGCCAGGGTCTTTGGTTAATTTATTCTCTGATAAAACAAGTAGAACAGCATCTTGCACATGGTAGGAACACAGCACGATTGCTTAAATTTTACTTGAATAAACCATAATTATTTAGTAATAGATTACTTCAGAAGATGATAATTTTGCTTTATACAGTACAGTCATCATTTTGGATGGGTTGTTGAATTTGTTTCTAATGAAGAGTGGTTATATTTCTTCTGAGAGCCTTTCCAGGTGGGGGACCAAGGAGGGGAATGAAAATGAATTTCAGACTTAATAAACTGGCTGAGGTTTTTAATTCTCCTAAATGTGTTAGTTTGCACACATACACACAATGAATTCATCAATGATTAAATGAAAACAAATTAATATTAAGATAAAAGAAACCTCACTATCTTACCTAACAATGTAGAAACTCTAATCATGACCACTTGACAAAATAAATGTTTTATTTATTAAGATCATGTTATTATTGCATTACTATTCAATAAGGAATTTTTTCCCAAAAGTTATGCAGCATTCAAATTAAAATCTGAGAGAGGTCTAAAAGTGAATTTATGGCCTAGAGTCTTGACAAGTTGACATTTACCTGAGTTACTAAAATCCACCTAGAAAATAAAGCAGTCTGCACTCACGGGCTGCCCTGCAGCAGACAAGTCTAAACTGAAGTAAATCTGCAGAACTGGCAGAACTTGAATTGTTTTCAGAAACTAAGTGGTTAGCACTATCTGTGACTCCCCTAAGCCTGTGCCCCACCCCCATGCACAAAGGCTCTCTTTTCTGCTTTTAGTCCGATGTAAACCCTACTGCTCTATCCTAATATTTATGCTCATTGGCACATTTCTCTGCACTTGACTATATTTTGTCCTGATGGCTTTGAATATATATTTAATTACCTGAGTGAAAAATTTCTCAAAGTCCCTCCTTCTCCAGAAAAATAAATCTATAATTGAGTAAAAAGGCCCTGTTTCCGCTTAAAGACTTGTGGCTCACCTCAGTACATAGTGCAGTGGATTTACAAGATGTTACTTGATAGCAATGTGAAAAACCACGTCCTTAGCCAAGCAATTAAAATTTTCTTTAGATATTCCACTTTTATTATTGGCTGTTACTGGTAACTTAGTTTTAATTTAAAGTTATTTGAAAAGTATTGGTTAATAATGTATAACACATTTTTAAAAGATTTTTATTTTACTTATTTTGAGAGAGAAGAGCAGGGAGGGAGAAAGAGGGGAAGAGAAAGATTGATGTGAGAGAGAAATATCAATCAGGTGCCTCTCCTACTGGTCCTGGCTGGGTAGGGAACCTGCAACCCCAGGCAAGCGCCCAAGAAGAGGAATCCAACTGGCGACCTTGAATGACACCCAATCAACTGAGCCACGCAGGTCAAGGCATGCAAAACACATTTTAATCCTGTTTTCCCCATATCAACCCGTTGGGGAAAACAGTATTTTCACTGGCTCATAGCATTGCATAAGTGAAACACAAAACTAAAATCAACTGCCTGATGTATTTAATAATCTTAATAAAGTCTTGAAAGTTACAACCAAACTATTGCAACTATTAAAATAATTACACGGCAGCAGATAGATTTTGAATGAGAATGTAACAGCCACCACTGCAAGGTATACTCTAATTCTGTCAGCAAACTAGACTTTTAAACCAGATATGACTGCAAAGAAAGAGTATATTTACTACCAGTTTTCTACTAACCCAAATGCAACGAGCAAGTGTTCAACTAAAACAGTACTAAAAATCCCATTTACAGCTCACGAATTAACTGATGAAAAATGTGCAACTATCTTCGGACACAAAACTAACATCACTGCTGGTTTACCAGTAAGTTAGTCATCTGCTTCAGAATAATTTATATCTCTAAATTGGGAGAAAATGGAAACTTTACTAAAAACAAACAACAAAAAACAAAACTTCGCCTGAAATGCTGACATTTTGGACAGCTCCCTTCTGATTTTTCAACAGTATTTCTATTAGGTGTCTGACTTTAATTTTTTTCTGTTTTATCAAATCAGAAATGAGCTTAATCGAGTGGTTTTTGTGGTTTGGGTTTCGTTTTGGTTTTGATATTTCCTGTGCTGTGTTTGGGAGCAAAAGATTTTTTCAGTGAAAGAGACTAAGGAGCTACATAACAGGTAAAGTGCTGCCTGTATTGAGCCCATTTTTATTTTTGCAAAGATTCTAGCTGGCAAGCAGGGAGCTGCCTTCTCCACTTCCATGCCCCGCTGCAATCTCATGGCCTCTGACAAGGACCACAGCCCCTCTCCGTCTGAACCAGGGTGGGGACAGTTCCTTCGTGTCTTGGTATTTCAACAACTCTCCCAGAGACTCCTAAGGAGACAGTGACCACGAACAAAACAATCGCCAAGAGTAAGTTTGTGCGTCCTGAAGACAGATCGAGCAGCCACTGCACTGAACTACGGATATTTGAGCATAGCCCGGCCTCACCATTCATTTGTAGCAGCGCAAAAAAATCCACCTCCTGCGGAACGGTTTGCAGCACTATGGAACTCCCAATGGCTTTATAAAATAAAATAATTTAATTAAAATAAAAAGAGTGTAGGCACCGGAGGGAGCAGGGTACGAAAATCCGGTTACACTTGGTGGTTTACGTGCTTTAAGTCTCCTTGTCCAGACCCCTACCGGCCGGAACTTTCTCCGAGGGTGGAGCCGCGGGGCAGTCCGCAGCTGCCCCGGGCTCTCCCGGCGGGATCCGGACCACCGGCGAGTGGCACCACCTGAACGCGCAGAGGAGCCCCTCCCGCTTTGGCAGTGCTGTGGGGATGCTGACATCCGAGCCCCACTCCAGCTCCTCAAAGCGGACTCTCTCTATTCCCAAATCTGCGCTCCCTAAAAGTGTAGTGAGCTTCCTACAAGGGACATAAGACACACACAAAGTCGCCACTCCCCAAGCCTAGTTCTACTCTCCTTTTTTTTTTTTTTTTTGTCCTTTTCTCCAGCAGTAACCAACCGTTACTTTCCCCTCCCGTGTTCTCCTTCTCTGAGTCTCCGGGGCAAAGTGGGACTTTGGGGACCCTCGGTGAATGCCCCTGTCCCTGACGCGCTGGATCCACAGCTCCTTGTTTTCATTAAGGCAATAAAGTTCAATTTGCCCGTTAGAGCCACGGTGGACTTCCCCGCGCGTTGCTTGCGCTCTCCCTCCCGCTGAGTCAAGAGCTATTCACTCCACCCCAGCCTAGATCCCTGAAGGACGTCGGCTCACGCGAGAGGGAATCCACCTCGCTCCCTGCAAAGTGCCCCAAACCGCGTGCCCACACATGCATGTACACACACAAAGCCAACCTCATGCTATCAAAGTCTGTCAGCGAGAAGGGGAGAACGCAGGAACTGGAGTGGCACCGGTGCGGGCATCAGCTTAGCAGTGCGTCCGGACTCGCTGTCCTGGTCCCAAACACCTTTGTCAGGATGCCCCAGGCACAATGAGCCCCCTAACACCAAAGGTAACATCAGTGGTCCCGGGAGCCTCACAGGCACTGCGAGGCCGGACCTACCGGCGGAACGCGTGGTCTCTTGCAGCTCAGCTGGCCCTCGGGCCAAAGGGACGCTGCAGCTGGGGTCCCAAAGACGCTGCTGCTCCGCTGCCGCTGCCCGGATGCCCGGCGCCAGCATCACTTCTCCGCCACCTCCGCCTCCTAGTGCTCTGTTCTCTCGGCTGCCCCTCCCCGGCGGCCGACTGCAAGACCGGCAGCGCGGGCAACGGGGCAACGCGGCGGGGTGGGCAGCAGCGGCAGCGGCGGCGCCCGCGCGAGCTCGCCCAGCTGCACCAGCTCGAGCAGCCGCGGCGGCTGCCGAAGCACCCGAGCCCTGCTGCGCTCCCCCGGCGAAGGCTCGGGCCGCGGCGACTGACAACGCCCAGCAGCCAATCGCAGACTCGCCCCGCAAGGTGGAGGGAGACCAATCAGAGCGGAAGGCCCAAGGTTTTCCTCCGCCTTTGCTCAGCAAGCTTGTTTCCGGGAGAGGCGGCGGTGCTGCTGGGGTTCGGGATGGGGGAGGCGCGGGAGAGGCGTGGGGTTGGGGATTCCGAGTTCCGGAGCCTTAGGTGCGGCGAGACAGCCTAGTCCACCGAGGTGGGGCCTGGGGCGTTTTCAAACTGCCAAAATCCCGCGCGCTAGCCGAAAAGGGCGCCCGGGGGTGACTCTGTCCCCAGAGGCTCGGCCTCGGCGGTTCAGCATCTCCGCATTCCTGCCTAGCGGTCGTGGGACTCGAGTACAAACGGCGTTGCTGGAGAGCGAATCCCTGGAGGTGGTCGCCGCCTTGAAGGAATCACGAGAACTAGTCACCAGACAGCGCCCCCGTCCTTCTCCCTTTGGCAGCTGTGGCAGCTGAGAAGAGTGGTACTGAGCCTCCGAACCATGCCTTGTAGCAATCAGCCCAGAAGTGTGACCGAGCTATGAAAGATGCACTTGGGGGAATGTGTTCAAAGTTGTAGGTGGAGTGGACCTTCACTGCCTGCCCTCCAAATAAGCTCCCCCCCGCTTTCACACACACTCCCCAACAAAACAAAACGCCTCAAGAAGCAATGAAGAAAGAAAGCTTAAGCAGGCAACCTAGTTCCTTTGCCTTTTTTTTTTTTCCTTGCTTCCTTTTTCTTTGGAGAATCACATCTGAATGTACAGGTTTTGGGGCGTTGTGTGTGTGTGTGTGTGTGTGTGTGTGTTTGCGTGTTTGATGGGTGGGGGAGGGTGTTTGACTCCAACACCAAAGAAGTGACGTTATTTAGCAAGGAAATAGAAAGCTATAGTGGCGAGCTCTTTTCCTTCCCTACTCTCTTTCCAACACGGTAATGATCTTTTCTTGTGAGTCCCTTCAGTGCATGCAAATATGTCTGAATGGTCCAGAGTCCTAGATTGTATGTAATCCATGTTTCAGTTAAAAAGCAAATCAAGTTTTACATGGATGCTTTAATAGATTTGGGTCTTTACCCAAGTGACTTCCCTCTGGTGGGAATAGTCATGCCTATGTTACCCAGGTTATTGTGAAGGTCAGAAATCTGGTGTATAAGTCAACTATGTAGTTGTTTGACAAACAGTTGGAATTCCATATGTCCTAGTTCTGCTGCTGCAGAACTAAGTATCTAAGTATCTAAGTATATTTTGAGAGACCCTTTTCTTTTTGCAATAATTGCTCCTATCTTCATTTATCTCCCCTTTAAGGTAACTCCCCATAAATTCTGTGATGCCCCAAATAAACCCTGCCTGAATTTTATGAGCACAATAAGAACAACTTTGATTGCAGAGTAAACTCGTGTGTTGCCATTTTCTAGTACCATACAAAATGTTTGCATATCACCCCATTCCTCTCAATTTTCTTGTGTTCTTCTCCCCTAAGGTTATTTAACCAAACTAGTTTGGGAGCTAGACCAACTCTTCTTAGGGAACTAACTGTCCTAAAAAGAAATAATAAGTTTATTTTTTAGGCTCTAAGCAGAGATATGTAGCATACCACTTTGAATTTTTAATCTAGAAAAACTTTTTATTGTTACTGTTTGTTTAGTTTCTAAAGTTTATTTATTTATTTTTTTGTTTTTAGTGTGTAACTTAAAATTAATACCCTCATTTACTACATAAAATGATCAATAGAAGAATGGAGTTAAATATGGGAGAGGAAGAAAAATGAAGTTTTACTGAAACTTCGTTGGGGAAAAGGGAATTGATATTTTCAAAAGGTAGACATATTAATACCTAAACCCTGAAACTGGAAGATTTAAATGCAATAACAATTTAGAAATATCTCTGATAAAAGATAAGTTTGGAATATTCTTCATTCAAAAAATGAATCTTGACTAAAGAAAGCATGTAAAATATGAAAATGTCATCAAACTTTAGAGTGTTATAAGGTCTTTAGAAACTTTCAGAGATATACATACACAAATGCCCACATAATTTTTCTAACCACTCCAACCTGTCCTGCCAAATACACTATTTTTTCAGTATTTTTCATGTTAACTGGCACTTTGCAACAGTTAATCCTAAAACTACATGGGTCCTATATACCATATTCTTTAGCAATTAAGATAATTAAATGACTATCTTACAGAAACAAAAAAAGTTAAAGTCAACAGCATGCATACAGATATAACAGTAATGTTTCATATCACTAGAGGTATGCATGAGCATCTCTGAGCAAAATAAACTTGCACAGTGAACAACCTACTAATAATGAAAATCATGAAATATTTAAAATCAATGAGAATGGAAATTTAAGGAAAAAATTTAAAAGTAACAGAAAAGATTACATGCCAATATTAGTTCTGCTTGTTGTAAATTTCATGGTATATACTGGGCAGAAAGTCTAGTGTTATTTAATTATGTGTCTATTTAATGAGATAATTATATTTAATTAAATAATTGATTTTTTTTACCTACTTAGATATGTCTATTTTTCTCCTCATGCAATGAGAGAGCTCAGTCAACTTGTTAGTAGAGGAAGAAATTTGCTCAGGCACTACTTTAACCCATAACTACTTGCCTAATCTCAAAAATACATAGTTTCATATTAATTGGTGCAAAAAAAAAAACCCTATGTCCAGAACAGAAATGAAAATTTCATTAGGTTAGTTCTGAGCAAAGCTATATCTAGCAGGCAAAAACTGAATTAAAAGGAAAGAAATCAGTCTAGTTCCAGTTCAGGTTTTGACTAGGTGAGTATTCAGAGGTCAGTGTAACTTTCCGAGCATTCCTTGTCTATAAAATAAAGATTAGAAACAAAACCAAACCTATAGCTGTTTTTCTAAGATGTGAGGATTAACTAGTAATTGGAACCACAAGCTGCAATAGGCTTTTTACAAAACAGTCCTTCCAAAAAGGTAAAGCACTGAAATTGAATGTTAATGATAATGTTTTCTTCTCTTGAATGTGACTTAGTTTAATTCTCACAATAGGCCTGTTCATTATGGATACATAATACCTATTTCTACAGATGAACATATTAAATTCCAAAGAAGTTTTTAATAATTTTATAATAAATTGACCATCAGATATACTATTTGTTGCTGTTATCCAGCAAGAATGTTTTTCCCATGCTTTCTTTACAATGCCATTTCCAATACTGTTGAAATATGCAAGTTTAATTGCTGGCACCATAATTTAAATGAAGGATAACTCATTTTGTTTAATATTAGATGCCAATTGCACCTTGAATAGAGCTATTTCCCAAAATAATATAGTTAATTAGATAACTTTAAAGACATTAAGCCTCCGTTCTCATATTTAAAACTCTAAAACATCTATAATAATGGATATTATTTATGCTCATGTTAAAAGATTACTATACAGGTATTTTATGTTAAAAGATTGAAGCAAAATCTAGATGAGAAAACAGCAATGAAAACCACCAGAGTAGAATTGGACTCTATTCAGTTCGCCATAATGAGGATTTTCTTAAAACATACTATATACCAGGACCAATGTTCTCCCTCACACACTCAGGAGTAAATGAATGAAGTCACTCATCAACATTTTATAGGAAACAGGACTCCAAACCCAGCAAATGTCCAGGCACCTAGCTCTATACTTTCCCACCACATCATAATTTTCTCCTGAGATTTGGGAATTATTCATAGAGAGGGAATCACTGAAACTAAGAGAGTGTAAAAAATATCCAAGGACAAAGTGTTGACAGAGCAACACACCTAGTAAACCACTTATAATTAAGAGAAAGTAAAAATGAGGGAGGGAGTGTTTATTTATGGAGTAGTGCAAAATTTATTCTGGAATCTAGGAAGACAATAAAAAGCAATGTGGTACTGTGGAATCCAAGGAAAGATAAAGGTTTTAAAAGAGTAGAAGATGAACCCTGGCCAGTGTGGTTCAGTGGATTGAGCACCAACCTGCAAACCAAAAGGTCACTGGTTCAATTCCCAGTGAGGGCGCATGCCTGGGTTGTGAGCCAAGTCCCCAGTAGGGGGTGCACAAGAAGAAACCACACATCAGTGTTGCTCTCCCTCTTTTTCTCCCTCCCTTTCCTCTGTTAATAAATGAATAAAATCTTTAAAAAAAGAGTGGAAGGTGAATTATATCAACTCTTGACTATAAGGATTGATAAGAGATCATGGAATAAGTGAAAACTCTGGTTTCCTTTGAAAGGACAATTATGATAGGGTGATTGGGGTGAACATCATCTGATTCCTACAGAATGGGAAAGGATAGGATAAGGGGGTATGCTTCTATTACGGTAGAAAAGAGTTATATGTTTATATAAATTCAATATTTTGAAATAGAGTTATGATTTATGTAGAAAGCTGTATGAAGAACTTTAATCGGCATAAAGTCTCATAGTCTTAATTTGTAGACAGTATTGTTATTACTAAAACAAAATTATTTGCAAAAATATACAATTCTTAAATCAGTGTGTATGCTATAGAAGTCAAACCATTACCAAAATGGAAGACGGTATATTTCTTAATATACCTTATAGATTCCATCTGCAAGTTTATATTTTAGAATTAGGCTTTTTTTGCTGGAATAAGAGAATCCAACCTCTTTTCATACTGAGGTTCTTCTTCCTTCAGCCTTAACACTAAAGAGCAGCTGTATATTACATTGGTCCAGCATCAAGTA